TGTGTTCATTCATAGTTTTGATGCCTTCAGTGAGAATCTACAATGTAAATAGTCATGAAAATAAAGAAAACGCATTGAATGAGAAGGTGTGTCCAAATTTTTGGCCTGTACTGTATATTGATCAGTATATCGACCAGTGTATTAATCAGTGTATCGATCAGTGTATAGACCAGTGTGTTGATCAGTGTATCGATCAGTGTGTCGACCAGTGATCAATGATGTCTGACCTCCTTCCCGGTGCTGATGCAGCCGTTGATCTCACTGATGATTCCTCGACTCAACATCTTGAACAGAATCATTCGTGTTCGAGGATCTAAAACCTGCAGGAGGAGAAGAAGAAGATCAGCACTTACTGATCGTTGATCAGAGGATCAATAGTTCTGTCGATCAGTGGGACAGATCCCGTGGACTTTATGTGTCAAATCAGCACGAAGCTGAAACTGTGATCAGATTTACTGATGATGTGTTCAAAACATCACAATGTTTGTTAGTTTGTGTTGTTTACAAACATCAATCAATAGCTAATAAATAATATAAAATAAACGACAGATGAAGTGATGACAAGACGTTTTACATGCTGCCGTTCACTTCCTGTCAGGCCCTTTCTAAATAAAAGCCTGCAGCTCACCTGTTCCACCGTGGCTCGATCTGATTTGTCCTTCACCCTGTACCTGCAGACAGCAGCCAATCAGAGCATTAGTCACATCAATCACATGACCTGTGATGTCACAAACAGTGAGGCGAGTTCAGACATACGTGTCGGCGTCTTTCTGTCTCTGCATGCTCGTCACTTTATTGATCACAGAGTCGGCGTACTTCAGTTTATCTAAAACAAAACCAATGCGCTCGATTATCAGCTAAACTCGTCAATAACTGTTCTGATCACATGACTGAAGCCTGTTATTGATCCTTACACATGATCACTGATCAATGCAGTGTGTGTGTGTGTGTGTGTGTGTGTGTTACCCAGGTTGATCTTGTGTTCGTACTTCCTCAGAGCTTTGTCAGACGGTGTCGACGGCAGCGTCTTATTGGACGGATTCTGTCTGTTGGACTGATCAATAAAAACAAATAAATCAATATTAGAATCATCAATAATCAATCAGTGTGACAGACGCCTGCTGGAAGGATGTCCTCTCTGTGTCCAACTTTAATTCAGTGACACCTGTGGTGGGCGTGGCTCATCACGGGACATGTACGCCTCTACATCTCACCATAGAAACTGGCTCCGCCCCCTAAAACTCTCAGATTGGACTCACAAGCCTGTGTGTGTGTGTGTTACTGTGTGTGTGTGTGTGTGTGTGTGTGTGTGTTACTCTGTGTGTGTGTGTGTGTGTGTGTGTGTTACTCTGTGTGTGTGTGTGTGTGTGTGTGTTACTCTGTGTGTGTGTGTGTGTTACTGTGTGTGTGTGTGTTACTGTGTGTGTGTGTGTGTTACTGTGTGTGTGTGTGTGTGTGTGTTTGATTGGCAGTGGTCTGACCTGACAGCTCTGAGATGTCCTGTTGTATCTTTTGGTCAGATCTCCTCCTGATGAACGCCACGCCCAGTCCTCCTCATCATCATCATCATCTTCTTCATCTTCATCATCCTCCTCCTCTTCCTGCTGATGGTCTGATGAAGGCTGCAGAGTGACATCACTCAGCTGACTGGTCACAACCGACAGCTCTGATTGGACACTGCAGAGACTAAACAACAATAGGAAGTGAGGACCATCACACAGACGGTGGCTACAACGAACGTGTGAATGTGTGAGGGTGAACATGTGGATGTGTGAACGTGTGAGGGTGAACATGTGTATGTGTGAACGTGTGAGGGTGAACATGTGAATGTGTGAGGGTGAACATGTGAACGTATGAGGGTGAACATATGAACGTGTGAACGTGTGAGGGTGAACATATGAACNCATGTGGATGTGTGAACGTGTGAGGGTGAACATGTGGATGTGTGAACGTGTGAGGGTGAACATGTGAATGTGTGAGGGTGAACATGTGAACGTATGAGGGTGAACATATGAACGTGTGAACGTGTGAGGGTGAACATATGAACGTGTGAACGTATGAGGGTGAACATATGAACGTGTGAACGTGTGAGGGTGAACATGTGAACGTATGAGGGTGAACATATGAACGTGTGAACGTGTGAGGGTGAACATATGAACATGTGAACGTGTGAGGGTGAACATATGAATGTGTGAATGTGTGAAGGTGAACATAAATCAAAGGCTTTGCTCATATTCGATTTGGGTTCGGCCCACTTGATATGCTGCTGTGTTGTGCTACAGTGTGTTCAGGTACTGGAATTTGTTATTTACGTGACAACGCCTGAACACAACACAGGCTGTGTGTGTTTAATGTTTAATGTCAGACCTGTTTAGACTTTTTATCCTGTTTTCATTGTCCAACGTTAAAGTTTCTGTTCTCAGGCAAATGCAGGAAGTCACATTTCTGTGCTCCAGCCAGTAACCTGCTTTGCAGCTCCTTTAAATTAAGAAGCATAATCGAACGTTCAGAATTTGACTCATGAGCGATTTGATATTTTACCAGCGGCGCTGCTAGAGCGAATTCAGCTATTTTGCAGCTCTGGCAGCTTTTGGTGTGAACGCACAGTTAGATCCATCAGTCAGAGTCAATCAGCTGATCTGAAGTTACTTCATCTGCCCTCCCTCTGATGACCAGTCACAACACAGCTCTGAGTCTCATATCAGCCACGAGAGCGTTCATGTGAAAGAGGCGGTGCATTTCATGATGAGTGACATCATCAGAGCCATGAATGACTGAATGAATGAATGAATGAATGAATGAATGAGGAGCTTCATATGTGATGAGATGGAGCCAAAGTGTCTGTGAGACGGTGACATGTCTGATGACACTGAACACAGCTGAGACTGAGACTCTCATCAGCTGTCACCAAGCTGTGACGTCACACATTATTGTTGTTTCGTGTCGTTGTTTCGTTCATCGCACTGAGAGGAAATACTCCACCAGTAAATAACAACAACAAGACAACAACGACAACAAAACAAACATACGCAGGAGAAAAACAACAACAATAATGAAGATGAAGATGATGATGAAGATGACACAGGCAGTGACTGTCTCACATTCACAGACAAAGCGGACTGTCTCACCTGTCCTCCTCTGCGTCATCAAACTGTCCAGGTTCACAGACCACCGACGACATGACGTCACACACCGAAAAAGACACTGAACCAGAGCCGAACCGGTCCAAAGTGATCCGAGCCGTGCCACAGCAGCTCACCGAGCCTCACACAGCAGCGTCACGTGTTTTCGCCACTTCCGGGTCTGAACATGTAACTACGGCAAGGAACGAGGGTCTGTTAGCGAACCGCGGCTCAGTGCTGCCCCCTGCTGACCTGTAATGACCCGGATCCAGTCAGCTTTGATACTAACGTCACTCACTGCAGTACGTAGAGTAACCAGATTACAGTGATGTACTTTAAGTATCAGCTGCTGAGCTCATGTCTGACACGGTTAAGGACAAAATATTAAAACCACATGAACACTTAAAAAAACGAACTCAAGTCTTTCATCCAGCTGCTGCAGTCAGTCGCCTCTATTTTGAAAAGCCCTGACCGGAAGTGTGCTGTAGCGTGTTAGCAGTGGTTAGCTCTGTGCTGTCACATCAGTGTTGTGTTAATAAAGTTGTGTTAAAGATGTCGGCAGGTCTGGAGCGGACTCCCCGGACTCTGCTGGTCTCTGATCGGTCCAGCTTTCAGCACGAGAAGAACCGGCTGAGCTCCCAGGTGGAGCAGCTGCACTTCAACTACAAGGTAACACCGCCTGTTAGCACCTGTTAGCACCTGTTAGCACCTGTTAGCGTCTGTTGCCGTTCGGTTAGAGAGCCGACAGCGTGAGGAGATCACATTATGCTAACAGGCTCAACACAGGAAACAAGCCGAGTGTACACATGTTAGGCACAGACTTTCACAGTAAATGTCTAAATACAGAAAACAAAGGGCTTCCGGTTCCTGAGGTATGTGTATATGTATGTTTGTATATACATATATATGTATATATATATATATATATACAGGCCAAAAGTTTGGACACACCTTCTCATTCAATGCGTTTTCTTTATTTTCATGACTATTTACATTGTAGATTCTCACTGAA